ACCTTGTGCCCACACCATGATTAAAGTCTAGCACGGGAGGAAGAGGTTAGGATGCTGAGCCCCGGGGCCCTCTGTCAACCCTCTAATTCCGATCTCCTGACACTTCATAGCTCTGAATAACTGCCCCTCTGGACAGACAGACTCCAGAAGCGGACAAGCGACTACGTGCAAGGTTCATCCGGGCATCTCCTCCACAGTGTCTGAGCTAGATCAGGGTCTCTACAATTTCCAGATCACTCCCTGGTCCAGAATGGCTGACACATCCACCAAAATGAGAAGAAGGCTGGAAGGCCATCTCTTTGTGCCTTTTACAGAAGACAGGGACCCTGGCCTGTACGGGGTCGTCCCTGAGAACAAAGCCGAGGACAAAGCCAGCGAGTTTCTCAGGTTGTTTGCTGTTGGCGATTCCCTCTTAGAACGCTGGGTGGATTCTCGCCATCCCCACCCCGCACACACACCTGCACCCTCACTGCCCCTCTTTCTCTGTTTTTCTACCAATCCTAACTGGATTTCCTTCTCTAGCTAATGAACATGGTTTCTTTAATCCTAGAAATTAACATGAATTCTGAGCTTTCCTCTGGGCAAATCCAGCCTTAGCCAGAGCTCAGTTATGAAACTTGAAGTAGGGATCAGCTTAAGCCAGATGGACCTTCCCTAACAAGGCAGGCAGGCAGTAGGCAGCCAGTTTTCTGAAAGCTTTTCTTATTTGACAACATGGCCCTGGCCCAGTGTCAGCCTCCTGCACTGACAGATGACATTCACATATTCACTTTCCTGCCTGTTTCCAAGACCAGGGAGATTTTTCTTTTTTTTTAGAGATTTCTTGCCATAGGGCATGTGCGCTCGCCAAAAAGACACAGAGAGACAGAGAGATAGAAAGCGAGAAACCACCCCCCAGGGGGGATGGCCACGCCACAATCCCTTCTCCTCCATTCTCCTCTCAGGATCTTGGGCACGCACGCACATGTGCCCAGCGGGAGTTTAAGCCACTGGGTCCAGGACTCGAACTGCAGTCGACTACATGGGAGTCCAGAGACATAGCCATTATGCTAACTGCTGGTCCTAAGCGTAGGGAGATTTAATAGCACAAACAAGTCACCACCTTCATCAGCTTCCACTTACTGAGGCCACACACCATGAGCGGTACTGTACTGGGTGCAAAGGGCATGAAGACAGGCAGCCAATGTCTTTGGGATTCCTAAGGGGGCCTCAGCCACCTACACCCTGTGAGGGTGCTCTTGCTCATGGCAGCCTCTGTCTGAGGATATCAGGCAGGATGGCAATTCTAGAGGATTCTGAATTCCCAACCTTCCCGAGCTACCTTCTGCACTCATCCCCCCACTTAGCTCAGAAGCCAGGCAGAGTTGGAAAATTGTACTCACTGCTTGGAAAGCTGATCCCAGGAGGTGTGATGAGCCCAGACTAACTGTCACAGCTGTTGGACGAGAAGGAGAACCACAGCATTTGAACCGGAGTAAACACTCACATTGCATCTGGCCAGGCACTGGTCTAAGTACTTTACGTATATTAATACGTTTAATTCTCACATTAACACGGCAGATAGGTAATATTATTATCCCCGTTTGGGGAAGCAGAACAGAATAAAGCCCAGGGTCACACAGAGACTAAGTGGCAATCAAGATTATGACTGAAGACTGGTTGCTGTCTATGCTCTTAATCACTGCAAAGTATGGTTTTTTAGAAGTCCTATTTCTGGGACCAGCGCATGACATAGAGGTTTAAGTGGCTGGATCCCATATTGCCAACTATGAGGTTCAAGTCCTGGACTCGGCAGCTTGAAAAACACTGGGTATGTGTGTGTGCATGCCCAAAATTCCAAGAGGAAACTGAAGAAGGGACTGAGGCCTGGCTATCCCCCGAGCGGTGCTGTCTCATTTTCTCTCTCTCACTTGTTCTCTCTCTTCAGCAAGTGCATGTGCCCTGTAACAAACATTAAAATAAATAAATAAAAGCCCTATTTCTGTTGCTTGCTTTTCAAAATAAAGAGAAAACAAACCAACACCGTCGTGGAATTAGACCTTCAGCTTAAAGAAAGATGTTCAGTGTGTTTGACCTGCTGTGTTTCCACCTGCCAGTTCTCATTCACACATCAAAACATTTCTCAGCGTTCCCCATCCAGGCACAGGTTCACAATTAGTCAAATATTAATAACAACAAATAGAGACTCCTCTCTTGATTCTAATTCTGCTTCCTCTCCAGTGTCCAGATATCCCTGCTAGGCATTAAACCAACTATGTGGGCAGCCATGGGAGCCCACGAAAGTGAAAAGACATCTACATGTCACACACAAAGTCAAAGGGGTTGCCCATGGACACAAGCCTTTCTGCCAAACTATGAATGATCCAATCACAGGAACTCATTCTAAAGTGACATGAGGATAAATTCATTTAATCCTGGAGTATCACACATAGATTCATACAAATATACATATGCACACCATTACCACCAAACCAAAAACAAAACTATGAAACTGCAAAACGTTCAGTAATTGATTTAGTCTCAGAAAGCCTGAGTACACACTAGAAAAAAAACACTGGGTATGTGTGTGTGCATGCCCAAAATTCCAAGAGGAAACTGAAGAAGGGACTGAGGCCTGGCTATCCCCCGAGCGGTGCTGTCTCATTTTCTCTCTCTCACTTGTTCTCTCTCTTCAGCAAGTGCATGTGCCCTGTAACAAACATTAAAATAAATAAATAAAAGCCCTATTTCTGTTGCTTGCTTTTCAAAATAAAGAGAAAACAAACCAACACCGTCGTGGAATTAGACCTTCAGCTTAAAGAAAGATGTTCAGTGTGTTTGACCTGCTGTGTTTCCACCTGCCAGTTCTCATTCACACATCAAAACATTTCTCAGCGTTCCCCATCCAGGCACAGGTTCACAATTAGTCAAATATTAATAACAACAAATAGAGACTCCTCTCTTGATTCTAATTCTGCTTCCTCTCCAGTGTCCAGATATCCCTGCTAGGCATTAAACCAACTATGTGGGCAGCCATGGGAGCCCACGAAAGTGAAAAGACATCTACATGTCACACACAAAGTCAAAGGGGTTGCCCATGGACACAAGCCTTTCTGCCAAACTATGAATGATCCAATCACAGGAACTCATTCTAAAGTGACATGAGGATAAATTCATTTAATCCTGGAGTATCACACATAGATTCATACAAATATACATATGCACACCATTACCACCAAACCAAAAACAAAACTATGAAACTGCAAAACGTTCAGTAATTGATTTAGTCTCAGAAAGCCTGAGTACACACTAGAAAGTCGGTGACGCAGATTAGCTGGGATTCCAGCATCATAACACCCACTCCATGAGGACACCGCCTTTCAGTGTGTGTGAGAGCCTGGGCCCTCGAGGGAGGGACCCTGCAGGTTTGAGGGATGCAGTAAGGCACCCTTGAGAAGGTGAAGCTGCTCTCACATCCAAGGGCAAAGTACCCTGAATTCCACGTAAGGTTGGGGCGTTAACTGACAGCAACCCCGTCACCCCCAACACAAACCTCTGTAACTTCAGCTCTTTCCTTCTCAATGAGAGCCCAACTGTGAGTTCTGTGGTGGAAAGAACAGGACCCACTTTCCCTTCCAATCGACCCTGGCTTTCGTTCTGAGCTCTCCTTCCCCACAGACAGCTGCCCTGGGCGGCCTCAGCTGTGACTGCAGGCAGAGGGAAGGTAGGGTTTTCCTGACGTAAAAGGAGCTGCTGGCCAACGCTGCAGTGGAATGGCAGGTATGGGGCTCTGTCATGGGGAAGGCCTTTGCAGAACGATGCAAACCACATCCATTTCCAGACATGCTTGTTACATGTTGTGCCATTGTCTGTGCTTTGTGCTTCAGATATTTAAAATATCTATGTAAGGGGCTGGCAGGTGGTATGGTGGTTAGAGGCACTGGACTCCCACATGGCTGGCCACGGTTCAAGTCCTGGACCTGGCGGCTTGCTCTCTCTCTCTCTCTCTGTGTCTTGCTATGGTCACATTAAAAATAACAATAATGATAAATTAAAAAGGAAAGAAGTATTTGAAAAAAAATCTATGTAAACACATGGCTACAGATGTCCTCTGCCACACATGGCAACAGCAAATATGGGGTGGGGTTAGGGGGAGGACCCCAACCTATGAAAGGAATGCACACACCTCACTGTAGTAGGAGGAAAGGAATAATCCACCAAGATGATTGCGATTTTGCTCAGAAAACCTATACACAGGGTGCCCAGTGTTTAAGAGTCAAGGTTTGAGAAGACCCTGGCTCAGGAGGCTGCTGGAGAGACCTGGGCCCTGTAGGAAGGGACCCTGCAGGAAGCTGGGTCATTTTAGAGCACGCTGGCTGGTACAGGAATGGAGGAGGAGGAAGAGGAGGCAGGACACAGACAGACACCCGAGCAGAGTCCAAAGGTTTGAGGGGCCAGAGGTGGAAGGCAGGGGGCACAGGCCCAGGGTGACCTCACAGCACATTTCCATCCAAAGCCCACCTAGGTCTCTCCCCCCCCCCTCCCAGGTCTCCCTGGAGGAGGGCTCGGAGCCTGTACCGAGCCTGTACCGGGAACAAACAAGCCAGTCTGCCATTAACCCTAATAACCAAGGGTCAAATGGCCATGTCAATACCAAGCTCACAACCCTCTCCTGAAAACCTACAACAAAAGCAAGCGAAATGACCTTGCCTCCACGGCCATCAACCCCAGAGTGGTGTGTGTGTGTGTGTGAGAGAGACAGAGAGAGAGAGAGACCTGTCAGAGAGCTGTTGGTTAAACACAGCATAACTATACCTGCAGTTGGGCAGTCACCAAAGGATACAGGACAGAGGACTGAGGAGCAGAGAGTGTCTCCAGGGTTACCTCCCTTAAATAAAGTCAGGGTCTCCGGCGCGGAGCCAGCGAGGGCAGCGGCCCTTCTCTCCACCGCAACCCCTGGCACTCCTTGCCTCCGGACTGCGGTTTTCCCGCGCACCCCTCCCCTCCCAGCTCGCACTCACTAGCGCAGCGCAGCGCCTGCCGCAGCACCTCTCGTCCACACAGGTCACACCAGCCCGGGCCACCCCGCAGTGCCAGTTCGACGAAGCAGTGTCCCTCGCCTCGCTCCGCCGGGACGCGGGGATCCTGCGGCTGCTCGAAGATGCTCCGCACGTCGCGGGGCCGAGGAGCTCCGGGTCGCCGCCGCAGTCTCTGCTGCAGACCAGGCCGGAGAGGGCGAGCAGGTCGGGAGGCCCGCGGCTGGGGATCCGCGTCCCCCCGAGGAGCCCTCCGGGCACCGCGCCCCTCGTGCGCCCCGGGTGCAGTGGAGAGAGGCGCGGGGGCGCAGCGGCGGGAGGACCGACCGGGCGGCGGCGGCGGAGGCTGCGGCTCGGGGCCGCTCA